TGTCCCTGAGTCTCTTTGTGCTCAAGGCTAGTGCTCTACCACTTAACCCAAAGCTCCACTTCCATTTTTTTCTTTATGTGTGGTTTATTTGAATGTAGATCTTTGGGAGGAGGGTGGGAGGGAACAGAACTAAAGGGTGACAAGAAGGGCAGCAGTAGAACTTACTAGACACTGTGATACTAGTGAACTATACAATTCACAGGTAGGGGAGAGAGTGAGGGAAGGGAAAAATACTGTACAAAAGGAAATATACTCATTACCTGATTCATGTAATTGTAATCCTTCTGTACATCTCCTTTATAATAACAATAAAGTATAAAAACAAAGATAAAATAAAACCATTGGGCATAACTGTTCTATTTTGTCTTAGTAATCATACTGTTGTCACTTCAAAATACCTTGTTATAATCACTAGATATTTTTATTTTTTATTTTATTTTTTTGGCTGTGGGGCCTGAACTCTAGGCCTGGGCGCTGTCCCTCAGCTCTTCAGCTCAAGACTAGCACTCTACCACTTGAGCCACAGCGCCACTTCCTGCTTTTTCTGCTTATGTGGTCCTGAAGAATCGAACCCAGGGTCTCATGCATGCAAGGCAAGTGCTCTACCACTGAGCCACCTTCCCAGCCCAACTAGATATTTTTATAAGCTTCATAGTTGCCACCAAGCAAAAATCTACACTAGAATAACCTCAAGTACTAAGCATAGAGTCAAAACACACATCTAGAGCAGATCATTTGTCTACAAGCATGCAAGAGATGGGAAAAAAAGCAATGAACTATAATAAAACTAGAAACAATGGGGGAAAAGAAGGACTATTTAGAAGTAAAAAGGGGAACTGAAGAACCACATTTGCTGAATTCCAAAATGGGGCAAACGCATGTAGAAACAGAGGGACCACTCAGCCCTATAACACTGCAACCCTTGGGCTAGCCTATGGTTTTCAGTGAAGAGACTTCCCCAGGGCAGCTAGAGCATACACTGGCAAACCCAGCCTGCAGGCCTAGGAAGCTGGCTCAGGCCTCAGTCCCCAGGCAAACTCCCACTTGATGAAGCCAGGCAGGGAGGGGCAGAGGAGTTTCTCTCTCTTCTCTGCAGAGTGGGAATAAAAATCCCAGTCCAAGCTTGGGTGTCAGTGGCTCATGCTTATAATCCTAATTACACTGGAGGTTGTGCTCTGATAATCACTGCTCAGAGCCAGTCAAAGGAGACAAAACAATTTATCTCTCATTAACCAGCTAAAGAGCTGGAAGTGAGGGACTGGTTCAAATGGTAGATGGGCAGCTGTGGGAGCATAATGCCTTAAGTTCAAGGCTCAAGTCTAGGTCTTCACACAGGTGATGTGGGATCCTTCTTTAATGGAGGCTGCAGCAGCAACTGGGGTCATCAAGATTTATCTGGTTTTGTTTTTTTGGTTTTTGGTTACTGGTCATGAGGCCTGGACTCTGGGCCTGGGCGCTGTCCCTGAGTACTTCAGCTCAAGGCTAGCATTCTGCCACCTGAGCCACAGCACCACTTCCAACTTTTTCTGCTTATGTGGTGCTGAGGAATTGAACTCAGGGCCTCATGCATGCAAGGCAAGTGCTCACCCACTGAGCCACCTTCCCAGCCCAGGATTTAACTGTTTTTGTATCACTTATTCCTTTTATTATGATTACTATGGGGTTTTCTGGGTGGTACTAGCAATTAAACTCACACTGCTAGCCACGTATGAGTTTAACCACTTGAGCTGCATCTCTCTCTCTCCTCCTCCTCTCCTCTTTTTTTAAAATTAATTTTTAGGATATAGTCTTACTATTTTTGCACATACTAGTCTGGACTTCGATCCTCATTTATGCCTCTCATGTAGCTTGGCTACAGACATGTATCACTACACCTGGCTTATTTGTTAAAATGGGTAAATCATGATTTTTCCACTAAGACTGGCCTCAAACTATGACTGTCCTTGATCTTTGTCTTCTGTGTAGCTACAATATAGGCCACAACTCCTGGCCCTTTATTATTAATTATTTTTTAATTAAAAATGTTTTTGGGAAGTAGTGCTATGGTTCAAGTAGTAGAACGCTAGCCGTGAGCTGAAGAGCTCAGGGACAGGGACCAGGCCCTGAGTTCAAGCCCCACGACTGACCAAAAAAAAAATGTTTTTGTCAGTCATGGGGTTTGGGCGCTATCCCTGAGCTTTTTCACTCAAGGCTAGCACTCTACCACTTTGAGCCACAGGTTTTCTAGTGGTTGGAGATGAGTCTCACAGACTTTCCTGACCAGGCTGGCTTCCAACCATGATTCTCAAATCTCAAGCACTTGAGTAGCCAGGATTACAAGTGTAATAAGCTACCTGGAACCTGGCATTCCTTTATTAATTTAATGTGATACTTGGTACATGCAAATGCATGGGCAGCTAACATGTCAGTTAAAAGCTGAATTCCAGCAGGGCTGGGAAGGTGGCTCAGTAGTAGAGCGCTTGCCTTGCATGCACGAGGCCCTGGGTTCGATTCCTCAGCACCACATAAGCAAAAAGAAAAAAGCCACAAGTGGTGCTGTGGCTCAAGTGGTAGAGCGCTGGCCTTGAGCTGAAGAGCTGAGGGACAGCGCCCAGGCCCAGAGTTCAGGCCCCACAACTGGACCCCTCCCCCCTCCCCAAAGAAAGCTGAACTCCAGAAGCCTACCATGAACTTAGACGTGGCCAAAACACTGGCAATAGCCCAATGCCTACCCTGGTGCCTCTCTCTATCTCAGCTGCCCTGATATAAGCTCCCTTCCCCCTTTCATTTTGCATGAGTTCTTCACTTGCTTCTAAAATACATAATCACATTCGCTTGTCTTTCTAAACATATGGTATCGATTTGAGGCTTTTTTTTTTAAGTATCATACTGTACGTGGTTCTCCAGGATTCTTTCTCCATCTATCACTGTATTTTTCCAGGAAAAAGCTGACAAGAATGTAAATGTGGGGTAGGCAAAACTGGGCTAGAATCCAGACTCCAAGTTCTCCAGCTGGGTGATTGCAGGCAAATTTCTTAACTCCGCTGAATGTCAGCTTCATCATGCACATAAATGGGGCTCTCAAATTTCCTTTAGGAGGTTTTGAAGAGGATGACATGAATGTATGCAGAATGTCCAATGGCAAATCAGGCCTTTCAAAATCAACCCCACCTCTTTTGCTTGCAGGTCTGGTTTCCCCTTAATTCAGGGGGTAGAGGGAACTCTGGCTGAATCTAATAACTAGAAGCATGAATTTCATCCGATAAGCCAAGAAATTACTAAAATATATTCATAGCTATATATTATAAATAGATAATGGATAGAAGGTGAGGAAAAAATGAGAGTGAGTGGCAGAGAGGATAAATCAGTAAGAAAGGAAGCAGTAGTGGAAGGTACCAACTGTTTCTACTTTATTGTGTGTGTCAGTCCTGGGGCTTGAACTCAGGATCTGGATACTGTCCCTTGGCTTTTATTGTTCCAGGATGGTGAGCTACCACAGCTCCACTTCTAGCTTTTTGGTGATTAATTGGAGATAACAGTCTCATGGACTTTCCTGCTTGAACTGGCTTTGAACCTTGATCCTAAGGTCTCAGCCTCCTCAGTAGCTAGGATTATAGGCATGAGCCACTGGTGCCCAGCTGACTTCTGGCTTTTTGCTGGTTAACTGAAGGTAAGTCTCTCAGATTTGTGTTTCAGGGATGGCTTCAAACCATTGATCAGAGATCACATATCAGCTTCCCGAGTAGTTGGGATTATGGGTGTGATTACTGATGTCTGGTTCTGCTTTTTGAAATATCACCATGGTTCACAACTAGCTCTTTAACCATTCCAATCCATAAGCTGGTTAAAGTTTGTTTGGACTGAGGTGGTCCCAAAAGACCACCAAGGAAGACATTCTTTGGGGGTATAGAAACAGTGAACAGAACAATCTCAGAATGATCCCAAAGTGGGGACCACATGGAAAGGTAATTCTTCCAGATTACACCAGATACAGTTCCTTTCAGCACGCCAGACCTCATGTGAACTATCCACATGTACTTACTTTGATCGCCCACGGAATCCAGGCTTGACATCTTTCATAGGGAAGAGTATGGAATGGCTTTTATTTGCTTCAAAACACAAGGCTTTTACAAATCAATATGCAAGTGGAAAAGGTGAAGGCAATCTAAGACCTGGAGTCAGGAAAGCTGGTGAGGTTGACATTAAAACACAGTGCATGCTAAAATATTTATGTGTGGACTTATGAAATATTGATGCAGCATCTTGCAAGCACGCTGGCTAATGCTCGGGGGCAGGAACCCATCAGACCTTTTCAAAGAACTGTATTTTAACCAGGGATGGTTTTCATTCCTGGCAAAGCTCCATTTGGCTTCAAAGCACGCAGTGGCCTTTCTTCACCTCCCTGTGTCAGCTGGCCATCATATCCTTCTTCAGAGCCAACAAAACACTCCTGGTTTCCCTGAGCTAGCCACACCCACATTCACACCTTGATGCCAGCTGCTAGCTCCTAGCAGAGAGAGCACAAGGACTGGAGCCGTGTCTGGGAGTGGCATAGATGCTTAGCTTCTGGGTCTCAAAGGCATCTGCCAAGGATGTGCATCCTCCAGGCCCCATGTAGGCCCTTAGCCTGGCTCTGTGCTTCCCAAGGGATTCTGGGAAATGCATCAGGTACCACCTAGCACCAGAGAGCTGGGTTAAAGGGATTCAGCCAAAAGTGCTTTATAGAACCTGGGTAAGAAGAATGAGGGGAGAAAAAACAAAACAAAACAAGCCAAAAACAGGCGCTGGTGGCTTAGGTCTATAATCCTAGCTACTCAAGAGGTTGAAATCTGAGGATCTATTGTTCAAAGCCAGTGCAAGCAGGAAGGCCTATGGAGATATCTCCAATTAACTACAAAAAAAAAAGCCAGAAGTGGAGCTGTGGCTCAAGCATAAAAGCTCAAGGACAGTACCCAGGCCCTGAGTTCAAGCCCCAGGACCAGAGGGAAAAAAAAAGAAGCCACCAAGCATTAGATAAACAAAGAAGTTTAATAAAAATGAGCAAAATCAGAACACAGTGGGATCGCACTGGACTTCGTTAGCAGGTCTGATGTGGACGTCTAGATTCCATGTGGCTTTCTCGGAGGACATAGGATTGGTCCCTTACGCTCCAAGATTCTCTTCAGCCGGTCCTCCTGTTCCCGTGGGGGGCAGCTTCTGTTTTCTGGATGTTGATTGTTGACCAGGCTGCTTCTGAACTCCCTCATCCTGTAAGCTATGCTGCCCAAGTGTGGCCTTTGCCCCATAATGAAGATGATGTCCCTTACATCAAGTCCATGCCCCTCCCCCAGGTCCTGGGGTTGGCAGGTAGACCAAAGCCAGTTTAGATGGAGGACTGAGAGATTTGGGAATGCTGGCAGGTCTCCAGGCTCCCTGCAAAGTCTTCTGAATCCCGTGGGCCCCTCTCCTTCTCTCTCCCTTTCTTCCCCCCTCTCTCTCTCTCTTACAAAGTGCTCAGGAATGCAGAACTCCTGGATGCTAATGATGAGCATGGTCCATGAGCTTGGACAGAAAGGAGCTTCACTGGGCCTGGACCTCCCTGGCAGCCACTGTGAGCTGAGCCATTTAGGATGTACTGCTCCTCCTCCGCGGGTGGAGAGCTTTCCTCCTGGCGATGTCCTCCTCCGAGTCACTCTCGCAATTTCTCTGGTGGGGGGAGAATAAAAGAGCCCCCAGGGGCAGGGTGTCATAGGATGCAAGGAATGGGGCTGTGATGGACAGGGGTGTCTAAGCTAGGGAGATGGGGCTGGGAAGGTGGCTCAGTGGTAGAGTGCTTGCCTTGCATGCATGAGGCCCTGGGTTCGATTCTTCAGCACCACATAAGCAGAAAAAGCCAGAAGTGGCGCTGTGGCTTAAGTGGTAGAGGGCTAACCTTGAGCTGAAGAGCTGGGGGACAGTGCCCAGGCCCAGAATTCAGGCCCACAACCGACAAAAAAAAACAAAAACTCTAAGCTAGGGAGATGATGTAGCAGCAAAGTCTATTACTCCATGCAGAGACCAGAGGCAGGAAAGGGGCAGGAGGGGAAGCTTGAAATGAGGCCAAACCAACTGCGTGGAGGCTGGAGGCAGGAAGCTGGCATTCAAAGGCATGGGGAAAGGCCAAATTATAGTAATGAAAATCACATCTGGTACTGTTTGTGGCTGCCACATAGTCATGCCCACAAGGATTGGAAGGTTGAGGGATCCTGGCTTTCCTGAGCTCAGCCTATAAGAAGACACTGAATAGCCATAGGTTTCTCCCTCCAAGTTCTGTCAGCTACCACAGCACCAGCTCTACCTTGACTTGCTTATATTGTATTGTCAGCAGCCTGCTGATGCTACACTGCTTTTCCAAGGAAATGACTTATGAGCTCCATTTTCATGAATGAGGAAGAAAGTATAAGTATAATCTATTGTTAGTCAATTTCAATGTTCTCTAAACAAAAGGTTTTCTCTATCTCTTTTTTTCTTCTTCTCTCTTAAGGACAGTCCTTTGGGGAATCTGTGTAACTTAGGTCCCTTTGAGATCTAATCCTTTTCCATTTCTAGGGCGAGCCACTGAGAAAATGGTATTGAGCCAGTAGAAAGAAGTCTATCCATGTGTGTGTGTGTGTATGTGTGTGTGTGTGTGTGTGTGTGTGTGTGTGTGTGTGTGTGTGTGTGTACATGTATATACTGGGGCTTGAACTCAGGGGCTGATCATTGTCCTTGAGCTTTTGTACTCAATTGAAGTATTCTACCCTTGAGCCACAGCTCTACTTCTTGCCTTTTGTTGGTTCATTGGAGATAAGAGGTACACAGACCTTCCTGCCCAGGCTGGTTTTGAACCACGATCCTCAGATCTCAGCCTTTTGAGTAGCTAGGATTATAGGCATAAACCACCAGCATCTGGCAGAGGTTAATCTTTAGATGTTGGCACAAGGTCAAAGTTAAGAAAGAAATTAACTTTCTTTTTAATTGCTCTCTGTTCTCCTGCTCCCCAGATTGCATCTGATCAAAGCAGTAGAACTAGAGGCTCAACCTGGAAGGCAGGCCTGCTGGCAGTCTGTCCTGCACACAACAGGTGAGCTTGGGTCAGCTGGAAATGCAAGGTCAAGATCAACATAAGCCAAATACATCCTGGACCAAGCTTGGCCATACCAATAAAAATAACTCAAGCTCTGCTGAATAGCAACCTTTTAGCATGAGTCAGAGCAGAACAATAAAAAGTAAGCTGAGTAAAGTCAGTCTGTGATGCAAAAGGATTCTCAGAGGGAGAACAGTTTAGTCTTCTTTAGAAAAGATGAGAATAGCAGCCAGAAAAGGGATTCAGCTCAGCCAAAGCCCCACAGGTCCTGGCAGGAACAGGAAATACACAAGAGCTCAGACTGAAGAAAATGGACTCAAGGACATGTGGAGAGCACAAGGCTGTGTACGTGTGTGTGTGTGTGTGTGTGTGTGTGTGTGTGTGTGTGTGGTGGCAGAACTGGGCCTTGAATTCAGGGCCTTCACTTGACTTTTTCTGCTCAAGGTTGGCATTCTCTCCCTGGTTTTTTGTTGTTTTGGGTGTGTTTGTCTGTTTGTTTTTGTCGGTCGTGGGGCTTGAACTCTGGGCCTGAATGCTGTCCCTCAGCTCTTCAGCTCAAGGCGAGCGCTCTACCACTTGAGCTACACCGCCACTTCCGGTTTTCTGGTGGTTTATTGGAGATAGGAGTCTCACGGTCTTTCCTGCCCGGGCTGGCTTTGAACCGCGATCCTCAGATCTCAGCCTCCTGAGTAGCTAGGATTACTGGGGTGAGCCACCAGCGCCTGGCTGTTTGTTTGTTTTTGCTAGTTAATTAGAGATAAAGAATCTCTCAGATTTTTCTTCCTGGGCTGACTTTGAATGAACTGTGATCCTCATATGTTAGCCTCTTGAGTAGATTATGGGCATCAGCCACGGTGCCTGGATATTTATTGTTTTTGACACAGAGTCTTGTTATCAGGCTAGCCTCCTGCTTCAACCTCTCAACCTCTGGGATTACAGGCAACTGCCATCCATCTACAGGAGGATTTTAAACAATTACTAATATGTATTGAGCATGTTAAGGCAGGCTTTAAGAACAGATGATCATTTAAACCCATGACCATCTAATGAGGCAGAAACTATTATTAACTCCATTTAATAAATGGTGACATTTTAGCATAGGGATGTTAAGCACTTATCTGATAGATAGCAGATCTAAATTCTGATAGTCTGGCTCTAGAGGTATTACCAGACTCTCACTTTAAATGTACATGAAGCTATGACAGTATAAAGGTGTTTTCTAAATATTATTGTTAATCATGGTGATCCAAAGCAAAACAAATGGAAACATTGCAAAGAAAAGCTAAAGCTCCCACCCTAAAAGCAAATTGTGGCTAATCAGGGATAAATTTTGGGCAAGGTGCTGATGGATCACACCTATAATCTAGCTGCTTAAGAAGCTGAGATCTGGATGGTCAAGGTTTGAAGCCAGTCCAGGTAGAAAAGTTGTGGAGATGCTAGCTCCAATTCACCAGTAAAAAGCTGGACTGCAATCAATGCTCAAATGGTAGAGAGAAAGCGGTGGGCAAGAGTAAGAGCTAAGGCTCTGAGTTCCAAGTCCCAGCACTAGAAAAAAAAATTAGGATGGTCTATGGCAGTCATTCCTCAGAGCCCCCACAGACCCTGCAGGGCTGCAAGTCTTCAGAAGATTCCAGACCTTCCAAAAGCTCCTGTTATTCCATGGCAGTACCCTCCCACCCCAACACCACTGAGAGGACCCTCAAACACACACACACACACACACACACACACACACACACACACACTTTGGGAAGCAGTGGAACACCCAATTCCTAAGTTGCTGCCCGAGTTGTAACCAAGAAAAGGGCTTTTGGTTGGGCGCTAGTGGCTCACTCCTGTAATCCTAGCTACTCAGGACGCTGAGATCTGAGGATCATAGGTCAAAGCCAGCGCAGGCAGGGAAGTCCATGAGACTCTTATCCCCAATTAACCAGAAAAAAAAAAGCTGGAAGTGGAGCCGTGGCTCAAGTAGCAGAGTGCTAACCTTCAGCACAAAAGCTGAGGGACAACAGCTAGGCTCTGAGTTCAAGCCCCAGGACCAGCACATCTGCACTTACTCACCAGGTCCGCAGCTGGCCTCAGGTGCACCTTCTTCATTAGGGAGCGTGTCAGATGGTTGCACAAGGAGACAATGCTGAAGGAGAGCTGAGGGGGAGGAACAAAGGATCCATAGGTACAAGGCCCAGGAGCCCCACCTGTACCCATCCCCATCCCCACCCTCACCTTCCCCAGATCCTGACCCACCTTCCACCTCCTGCGGACATATTGCTTCTTAAAATTCTCCAGGTTGACCACAGACTCCCTTCGCACCATGGCTTGCTGAGTGTCCACTGGCTGAGAAAGAAAGCACAGAATGGCAATGTTATTCACTGGACTTCAGATGGCAGCCAACCTACCTCTCTGCAGGACCACAGCCTGCCCCTGGCCCCTTCCCAGTGGGGAAGGAAGTGCAGAGGAAATCACAGTGAGAGCACCGGTATGGATGGCTCAGCTGCCATTGGAGATGCCCTGAGCTTTTATTATCACTGGCCAGGCTGGAGGCCCCGCCTCTCCTGAAGACAGAGGCATGAATTAGCATCACCTTGGGAAGAGGGCCATGGGACAGCATGACCCCGCCCAGTACACTGGGCTGACTCTCTCGGCTTGGCTCAGCAGAACGGATGTCTTGCTGGAAGTCGGTAATGTTCATTTACAAAATAAATAGAAGGAAATAGGGTTCCTTGATGGGGGTCAGATAGAGACAGCTATACCTACTATACATGTAGTAGCCCTTCACGGCCTGGCAGTCCTGACATGGCTTCTCTGAGCCTCAGTTTTCCCATTTGTAATATGAGTGTAATAATTCACTGCCATTGAGTTACTGAGGGTTAAATGAATGAGGATAATCTAATGGCAACTAAGCTGTTACCATTCCTGTCTTCTTTGTTTCCTCTTAAATGTCCTCTTTTTGTAAAACATGGCTATCCGAAACCAAGAGATAAGATTTGGGGAGTTCTATGGACCCCCTGAAATGCTTTGCAGATTTTACTATGTGAACGTGTTACATGAATGGTCACATGCAGCATTGTCCCTATGATTAAAAAGTAGAATCAATCTAAGTGTGTGTGATGATGGGTCCAACAACCTTTGGTTTGCCCATACAACAGAAACAAGTGTCTTGTTGATAGATGCTGCTGTATAGAGTTACCTTGAAATCATTAAGCCAGACATAAATGGCCCATATTATGTAACTTCATTTATACAAAATGCCCAGCACAGGCAAACCTATAAATTGAAGTGGGTTTAAGTTTCTGGGGACTGAAAATAGGAGCATTTCTTCTAAGCAATCACTAGCTTCCAGTTTGGTGTTGGTACTTGAGCTTGAACTCAGAGCCTTACACTCTTGTTTGGCTTTTCCACTCAAGGCTGGAAATCTACCACCCCTATCCCACCCCCCAGTTCTGGCTTTTTACTGGTTACTTGGAGATAAGAGTCTCACGGGCTTTCCTGCCCTGGGTGGCTTTGAACTGTGATCCTCAGGCCTCAGCTTCCTGAGTAGCTAGGATTATAGTCATGAGACACTGTGCCCAGCTACCATTTATTTTTAAAGGACCCCTCTCAAGAACATGAAGGCCCAGGAGGATCCACTGGGTCCTGTGTGGCTTGATTTCCCTCTGCTCCTATTCTAAAACCACCATTCAGCATCGGTGAGCGCTTCGCTACGTGGGGTGCGTAGCTCTGCTCCTGCTGGTTTTTGTCATGGTACCAGGTACCCAGAGGTTGCCAGTGTGTACTGCTAGCTCACCCCATTCTGGACCTGGCATCTACTTGAGATCCATTCCAGAACTGTCCCATCCCCCTGGAAGATCTCAGTGTTTCAAAGCCCAATTCAAGTGGGAGTTCCTGCGACAACTTGCAAGAAATGTCTCTATCCCTGACATGGAATATAACCCAGGAATATTATTTATAAAAAACAAGCCAGGCAGCAGTGGCTCAGGCCTGTAAGCCTAGCCACTCAGAAGGCTGAAATCTGAGGATCACAGTTCAAAGCCAGCTTAGGAAGGAAAGTCTGTGAGACTCTTTATCTCCAAATAACCACCCTCCAAAAAAACAAACCCTAAAGGAGCTGTGGCTCAGATGGTAGAACAAAATAAAATAAAAATAAAAGGCTCAGGGACTCAGGGACAGTGCCCAGCCCTGGGACCAGCATGCCCACACATGCACACATGTGTGCGCGTGCGCACACACACACACACACACACACACACACACACACACACACACACAAGTAGAGGATTGGAGGCCTCTCACTGCAAGGCAGCAACTTGAAGCCACAGGGACTTTCTTCCTGTCTCTGTTAATGCTCCAGGCTCCTCCTCTTCCCTCCCCTTTGGCCTAACAACCCTGGATGTTGGATAACTTCATGGTTGCTTTAGCAGTTTCTTTAGCTGCTGAAAGAGACAGACTGGAAGAAAACCTCAAGACCTAGGATGTGTTCTGTCTCACCAACCGCTTGATCAGCCCAGTCACCACATACCATGAAAGTGTGTCATGATAATCTCACTCCCCACAGCCCTGCCTGGAACTCAGCAGGAGAGCTCTAGGTGTGTGAGAGAACAGGAGCAAAGTGAAGGCAATCTTCAAGTACTTGAGACAAGAGAAAGCCATAGGCTGTTCATCCTTCCAAACTGGAAACACAGGGCTGGGAATGTGGCTTCGTGGTAGAGTGCTTGCCTAGCATGCATGAAGCCCTGGGTTTGATTCCTCAGTACCAAACTGGAAACACAGAGGTTTGGGCCAAGAGTGCGGGAGGGAACAGAGGAAAAGGTAGCAGACAAGGTAAAGAGGAGGAAGAGAATCATCAGACCATATCCACCTCTCCTGACCCCTTCTGTAACTATTTATCACCTCTCTACATACAACATGTGCAAGCCCAGCCCTAAGGTAGGGTCCTCCTGGAAGGGAGGCTTTTCTGTTCCCATGGTTCCCCCAAGTCTCTCCATATACCCCCCAATGAGCTCCAACAGACTTCCCAACCCCAGGTGAAATGTCAGGTGGGGCTGTTCCCACAACCATTCACTCAAAGTGACACAATTACTTCTACAGCCCTGTCTATATGCTGCACGCAACAGCCTGATCCCTAGGAGAAGGCCACCTGAGCACTGAACCTGTCAGCCGGGCCTTTGCTAATCAAAGGCCTCCTTAGATGCTAAGAGGCTCACCAAAGGCGGATATTCCGCTCAGCCTACCAAGTCAGATGGAAATGCTGCAGGGAAATCTGTTCCTGAAGCAAAGGTGGCACAAACTCTTGGTGAACCTGGGGCTGGGGAGAAGGAGCTATATCTGACACCCACCACCCCCCTGTATGCACATGGGAGGCTGTTTCTAGCCTTGTGGGTCCATGCATGCTGTCAGGGAGCCTAGGGAATTCTTTGGCTGGAGTCAGGTTATGTTTATGGCGAGGTAAATGCCTCTGATACAATTCAGTGCACAAGGTAGGTCATCATCAACATCCCCAGAGCAAGGAGAGGAAGTAACAGCCGCCACCAAGGCCTGAGAAAAGAGCCCTGACTTTCGAGAAGACTTTTTCTCTAAATACCAGACTTCCTGTAGAAACTGCAGACAGATGGCAGCTTTTCAGATCTCCATCTGTTCCGTAGCACCATGATTCTCCTCAGAAAGCCTGCAACACCCACTTTTCTTTCTGCCTGGAGCTGTCACTCTGCATTGCTCCTTCTCCTCTCCCTAAGCCAAGTCTCTCACCTGGCGGTAACTTGCATGGCTCCTTTTGCTGGCTGGGCCTGGCTCTGCTGCCCACAGTATTTGTTTTTCTAGGAAGAGGCACAGGAATCTTGTGGGCTTCTGAGCCTCTGCCTCCTGCTAACAGGTGAGAAGATTCAGAAAGGCCAACGGGCTGAGGGCTGCCCTTGGACAAGGTAGAAATGTCTCTTTTCTGTGGCTGGCCTGGTTTTACTTCCCTGTTAAGATTCTGGCATGAATACATGGATGTGATCTTCACTTTTCAGAGCCATTTCTTGTCTCTGGGGAACAGTTTCCAAAGCTCTCCTTCCTGTCTGGTTTCAAGGGACTTGAAAGACATCAACCAAATACCAGGTGATGTGTTCACCTGATGTGAACAAGCCAAGGGTCTGTAACAGGATACCCTTGGGAGATGTGGGGATGTGAGTAGGGAAAGATTGTTCAGATGACATAGAAGAGGGGGAGATGGAAATCAATGCTAATTTTGTCAGGGATGAGATAACAAAGTCCTAAGGGGTATGATGGTGGCATATTCCTGTAATATCAGCAACTCAGGAGGCCAGAGAATCCATGAGTTTAAAGATAGCCAGGGCTACATCAAGTGAGACTGTGTCATTATGTCATTCTCTGTGCTTTGATGCAAGTTTTGAACATTGTTTTCTTTTCTTTTCTTTTTTTTTTTTGGCTGGTTGTGAGGCTTGAACTCTGAGCCTGGGCACTGTCCCTCAGCTTTTCAGCTCAAGGCTAGCGCTTGAGCCTCAGCGCCACTTCCAGCTTTTTTTTCCTGCTTATGTGGTGCTGAGGAATCAAACCTAGGGCCTCATGCACTTAAGGCAAGTGCTCTACCCCTGAGCCACCTTCCCAGCCCTAAACATTGTTTTCTATAATCAAGTTAAAAACAGTAACTTTTTTTTTTCTGGTCCTAGGGCTTGAACTTGTGGCCTGGGCTCTGTCCCTGGGCTTCTCTGTGCTCAAGGCTAGTGCTGTACCACTTGAGTCATAACACCACTTCTAGCTTTTTCTGTTTATGTGGTACTGAGGAGTCAAACCCAGGCCTTCATGAATGCTAGGTGAGCACTCTACCACTGAGCCACATTCCCAGCCTGATCAAAACAGTAACTTTTTTTTTTTGGTCAGTCATGGGGCCCAAATTCTGGGTCTGGGTGCTGTCCCTCAGCTCTTCGGCTCAAGGCTAGCACTGTACCACTTGAGCCACAGCGCCACTTCTGGCTTTTTCTGCTTATCTGGTGCTGAGGAATCGAACCCTGGGCATGCAAGGCAAGCACTCTATCACTGAGCTACCTTCCCATCTCAGAAACAATAACTTTTTGAAAGGCCAAGTGCCAATGGTCAAGCCTGTGAGCTACTCAGGAGGCTGAGATTTGAGGATCACAGTTCCAAGCTCAGCCTGAGCAGGAAAAACCTGTTAGATTCTTATCTCTAATTAACCACCAAAAAAGGCTGGGAATCAAGCTGTGGCTCAAGTGGTAGAACACCAGTCCTGAGCAAAAAAGCTAAAGGACAGTACCCAGGCCCTGAGTTCAAGCCCCAGTACCAACATACACACACACACACACACACACACACACACACACACACACACACCCTTTTAAATTTCTATAATCCTTTTCTTGTTACTTTCTATACAACAGGATGGGTTTCTGACTCAATCTGGGTTCACTGCCATTCAAAATTCTTTTCAGTATCCTTCACAAAGATACAGCTGGGGTTTGGGGTTGTTGATGATGGAGAGAGCATATCAAGATTGCTTCAGGAGAGGTTGGAGGCATGGTGCAGGTGGTAGAGCACCAGCCAAGGAAAGCATCAGCTAATGAGTTCTAGTCTTGGTCTCAGACCAAAAAAACAAAAAGATCGCTTCAGCTCCCTGCTGCCTCTTGCCTGGCCCTAATCAGAATTCATCTCGCCTGCTTTTTTTTTTTTAATCTAATTTACATATTAGATATCTGTATTTTATCACTCACAGCCTTTTCCACCACCCAAATTACGCAGGAGCCCATCTGCCTCAGACACCCAACCAGTCTTTTATTCAGGAGTTTTCTTGTCCTTATCTATCACTCCCCCGCCCCCCCTTACCCACCCAGGAGTCAGCACACAATTAGTGTTTGTTCAGTCCTTCTGGGCTACTTGTACATGCCCACTGCTGGTTTTCCTTTCCAAGGCAAAGAATCTCCTCCGTGGGCCAAGAATTTCACAAAGGAGAAAAAGCATTTAGTGCCAGACATTTACAGAAGGTTCACAGTAGTGTGTGTGTGTGTGTGTGTGTGTGTGTGTGTGTGTGTGTGTGCGATAGTTGGGCCACCTCCAATATTGACTGTGCTGTGAAATCAGTGAAAGGGAGAAGGAAGTTACCATTGTTATTGTCATCAGTAAGGGATGGGGCTCATGCAGAAGGTTCTGGCTTCTCCTACCATGATTACTTGGTTTCATTCGCCTCCATTGATTGCCAGCTTCCAGCATTTGCAAAATCATTCTCAACCAAACCATTACCACCCTTCCTGACAAACACAACTGTGAGGCTCTGCTTCTAAAGGCCTACTTCCCAGATTCCTTGAGAATCTGCATACACAGCCCGTGCCTTCCCATTGGCCAGGATGGGGCTTGAACTCAGCATGGAAACTGACCTTTCATTCACAGTGTGGTGAATTAAACATTCTCCATGGTGGCAGAAGGAGCTATCCACAGAATGCCACCAACTGCCCCCTACTCCCTTGTCCAAACCTCCTCCCTCCACCTCCAGGTCCCAATGAAACACTCGCCTGCCCACATTCCCATTGGCCATGGCAGTCCTATCCTGGACATGGTTGTCAAAATGGCATCCCTGACCATGTGGGGGGGGGGACAGAGGACACAGGTCTCACAGCTGTCCCTTACAGGCCTTCTTGGGCTTCCTTTGATGCTAAAGGAGAATGGAATTTTGACGGACAGGTGACCGGGGAAGGTCAGTCATGGTCTTCTCTGAGTTCTCTGCAAGAGTTGGAGGTGTTCACTCCATTCCCTCTTGTCTTTGGATGCTCTTTATATGGAAACAGGTCTATAGAGAAAGCATCAGAAGGAGCTATGGTTTACCAGAGACTCATCATGAACACAGAGAGGACCACAAACTCTGTTCTGAAGAAAGCTACTTAGAGCCGGGCACCTGTGGCTCACGCCTGTAATCCCAGCTATTCAGGAGGCTGAGCTCTGAGGATCACGGTTCAGAGTCAGCCAAGGCAGGAAAGTCTATGAGACTCTTATCTCCAAGTAACCACCAGAAAACCAGAAGTGGCGCTGTGGCTCAAGTGGTAGAGTGCTAGCCTTGAGCCTTGGGACAGCGCCCAAGCCCAGAGTTCAAGCCCCATAACCAGAGAGAGAGAGAGAGCTACTTAGGCCTAGTTGCCCAGCAGCTGGTAACTCCAGCCAAGCCTTGTTCTCTCTGACAGCTAGAAAATGAGGGTAGTTCACACTGGAGGATCACCTCACAGCTGATTCTACAAATCCAAGATAACTATGTCTCTTTTTCCTAATTCAAATCATCATCGCCATTTTCCTTTCATTGCATTTATTTTGACCTTCACAGGAACGATTACCCTGCACTGCTCTCCATTGGTGACCCTCCTCTCCATAAGAAACCTGGCTTTGAAGGTCAAGGCCTGTCATAGCCAAAGGGACCTTTGATATTTGCAGTCTATGCGTATGTGTGGCCATTTGCAGGTCCTGGGACTTGAACTCAGAGCCTGTCCCTGAGATCAAGGGTGATGCTCTATCACTTAAGCCACAGCTCCTCTTCTGTTTTTTTTTTTTTTGGTGGTTAATTGGAGATAAGAGTCTCACAGACTTTCCTGACCAGTCTGGCTTTGAACCACAACCATGAGATCTTAACCTCCTGAGTAGCTAAGATTAAAGGCATGAGCCACCAGTGCCCAGCGGTATTTGAAAATATCTGATACCAAACAAGTCTATGATAAGACTTCTGAAAGATTGTTGAGGTCATCTATACCCATTTCCTGAGATGGGACACAAGAAATGGGACTTTGTCCTCTTTCAGATCTCAGAAGTCAGGAGGTGTCATGGATCAATGGTGTTGAGTGCTATGGGGTTAAGTGTAGACAGGTCCTAAGAGAAGATTACCCTGCTTTGGCCAGCCAGGTGGAGCCAACCAGCCTCCAGCTGGGAGCATGACAGTCTTTTCTTCATGTTTCTCAGCACACTGACTGTGCAAACTCAGAGAGCAAAGCCACCTTAGACTATGTTTCTTGGCTCTCCCTTTCTGCATGGTGACTTTGGTTCTCATTTCTCCTCTGCGAGTGTTTCAGCTCTATGAAGGTGTATTTGGGAGTGTCTTCTTATAGGCTGTCCTTACTAGGCTTTTTTTCTTTCTGAATAGTACATATAATAATGATGCATCTTTTTTTTTTTTTGGTGGTAGTGGTACTGAGGTTTGAACTCAGGACCTTGTACTTGCCAAACAGGTGTCTTACCACTTGAGCCACATCTCCAGTGATGTATTCAATACTCATTGTTTCTTATATTTGATAGCAAAAGTTCCTATTACAAATAGATGGTATTTGAAACGATGCACTTTGCTAACATAAGATAGGAAGCCAAGAAAAGATTTCATGAGATCAAGATCTTACGTGTTATCCTAACACTCTTCCTGTCTGTGCTGTTCACTGGGCATTCTCTTCCAGGTACGCTAGTTCAAGACCCATTAATGACTTCCTACAACTCTGGGGAGAAAGGCAGTCCTCCTTCACATAGTCAAAACCCTGCTGGTCCTACCATATCTACATCATACTCCTGTTCTCCTCTCTCTGGCTTTCCTTCTGTCTTCTTATTGCCAGCCTTCTGGTAAATGCCTTGTTGAGAGTACTTCTCTCCCAAGTTTGATAGCTAATATGCAGCCCTTGCCCTATGGTTTGCTTCTCTTTGGTAGCATGTGATCTACCTGTAGGTTCTGTCTATTTGTGATTGTTAATTAATTTATTTTTTATTTTTGCTGGCCCTGGGGCTTGAACTCAGGGCCTGAGTGCTATCTCTGGGCTTTCCCCCCACCCCCTCAAAGCTGGCATTCTACTACTTCAGCCACAGTCACCTCCAGCTTTTTGGTGATTCATTGGAGATAAGAGAGTCACATGGACTTTCCTTCCCAAGCTGGCTTTGAACCATGATCCTCAGATCTCAGCTTCCTGAGTAGCTAGGATGATAGGTGTGAGCCACCGGTGTCCAGTTTCCTGTGATTAATGTTGGAATCCTTCACTTCATATGACAGAAGGGCTCTACTTTGACTACTAATGATATGATCTGGAGGGGGAAAAAAATCACATTTTCCCTCTGTTTCCTCATTTCTAAGCTGGGCATCACATCTAATACAATTATCTGGCAGGGCTGTTTTGTGAGGCCATGAAGAGCCTTTGAAACTATACTATTGTCCCCTCAGCCCAGGCTTCCAGCATGATTCTGGGCCTTTAGCTGTGCAGTGCCTCTAGGGTTATATCAATTGGCTTGTCTTCTGGGGAAGGAAGCTGAGATTATGCCATTTGCAGCAAAGGATGCTCAAAGCTTTGGGTCCTAAAGGGACCACTGGGCCATGGACTTCCCAATCTTTACATCCACCCTGTTCAAAAACTCATGTAATTTCTCAGGCATTCAGGGCCTGGTATACAAGAAAGGAATCTCCCTGTTGAGAGGCTTTTGGTGTTCACTTTTAACACAATGTTGGCGTTCTGAGCTAAAAGTTGGGGGAAACGGTGGGGAAGGGGGAGATGCTTCCCCTTCCCTTTTACTTTGCAGATTGAGCTTCAGACCTAAACAGGCCTGGGAAGGAACAATGATGGAACCTTCTAGGGCATAGGTCCTGGGACAATCACCTATATGCCACCCAAATCTGGCAAAATACATAGCATTAACTCCCTGACTTCTGGGATTTGAACTTTATTAGTAAGGTGAACTCCCCTTAGTTTACAGTTAACCTCTCCACTTCCTCCCTTATACCTCATCTCAGAGCTGAGCACTCTGAGTTTCCATCTTATCTCTATCAACTATCTATAAGTGATCCTAAATCATTGCCCCTCTGAGTCACTGGTGAGAGACATGAAGAATACCTTCACCCATCTTCCTATCTTGCAGAGTTGATCTCTGAGGCTCACCTGAAGTCCCAGCATGAGGGCAAAAGGGAAAAGTCAATTCAAATAAAAGGTAATACTTTAAGCATTTTAAATCTCTGCATCTGGCTGGGCGCAGGTGGCTCACGCCTATAATCCTAGCTCCTCAGGAGGCTGGGATCTAAGGATCATGGTTCAAAGCCCACCTGGGCAAGAAAGTCCATGAGATTCTTATCTCCAATCAACTACTAAAAAAGAAAAAGGAAGAGAAAAGAAAAGCCAGAAATGGCGGTGCGGTGTGGCTCAAGTGGTAAATTACTAGCCTCGAGCAAAATAGCTCAAGAACAGAGCCCACACTTCAGTTCAAGTCTTATTTGGCACGTATGTGCATGCGCATGCGTGCATACACACACACACACACACATCTGTATCTGTCAGAGGAAAGTACCCTGCTGAGCTATCCTTATTATTATCCTGAGTTAACTTCATGCTTGCCCACAATCTGCAATCATAAGGGATGTAGGCAGGATATGAGAGATGAACTAATCCATCACCACTAACCAATTATCAAGCAGTGCCCCAGCACCAGCCAACTTTCTCATGGAGAAGGTACCTCTGAAGGGGCTTTCACTGTTTTAATTGTTTCGACAGCTCGACTTGCCTGCCAGCTCTCTTGCAGAAAACCAGACTAAAATGAATAATCAGCTGGGTGTCAATGGTTCTTAACTACTGTCATCTTAACTATGCAGGAGGCCAAAAATCTGAGGATCACAGTTCAAAGTCAGCCCAGGCAGAAATTTTGTGACACTCTTATTTCCAAGGAACCAACTAGAAGCCAGAATTGGAGGTATGGTTCAAATGCTACAGTGAAAAGCCAAGCAAGAGCGTCTAGGCCCTGAGTTCAAGCCCCATCACAAGGAACAAAACAAAACAACACCAAAAATAAACCTAACACCTCAGTGAGTGTGAATTTTCTGGAGGGGGCTGGTGCTATGCTACAGACACACACACACCCTGCAGGATAATTGTCACTGGGTGCCTGCTCTGGCTGGACAGAAGACACAGGCTTCTGTACATCATCCTAGATACACCACCGCTGGATCCCAGCATTCAGAGCTTCAAGCCAGCCAGGACTTCCTCAGTGCGTGATCTGTGGAGCAGCTCAGACAGGGATTCGCTGGCATCCGGACAGAACACGGAGCCCCGGCCATCTGTGTCCCCACTCTCCGGCTGGAAGCCGCCCACCAGTTCCTGCATCCATTGGAGGTCTGCTGACACCTCCCTCCTCAGAGCTTCAAACTGGGCCTGCAGATGGTCCAGCTTCCTAGCCACGCCTCCCAGGCTGGATCCTGCCACTTGGATGTCTTCTCGAAGGAGTCTCTTCAAGGACTTCACCTTCCGGAACTCGTACCTGAGCTGGGACAGGTCATTCCGGGCCTTCTCATTCTCTTCTCGGTACCAAGCCTCCTTCTCATTGTAGATGGAGACCAGGACCTCCACGTCATCCTGGAGAGTGTCATGAGCTTCTGCCAGGTCACGACATCCCTGATCCACCCGAGCCACATCCTCTACCACGTGGGCAAAACGCTCAAAGTTGACATAGGAGTTGTTGTGGGGCATGCTTGAGTGGCATTTGAGGGTATACTCTCTCAGCCGTTTGGTCTTCAGCTGGGTGGGCTGTGTCTTCCGCTGTTCAGGAGCTCTGACCTCTCCTTTGGACTGGCAAGGTGTTCAGACAGAAGAACCAGAATATTAATGTGGGGGAGGTTCCAAAGGGCAGGCCAAGCTGCAGGCAGAAGGCACGTGCATGGCTTCTTGGCAGTCACGGCATGTATCAGGCAATGGGGAGAGCCAGGGTGGAGCTGACACCCCCCCTACAGACCATCAGAAAGGTCAAGGAGTGTGGGGGTGCTGCCTGCATACTCACGCCAGAGCAGAGGGGTCCAAGGCCATTAGAGGGAGTCTTCCCACACGCACAGCACTTAAGGGGCCTCATGCAGACAAGCAGGCTGCAGCAGGATTTTACACACACATCCACGCAAGGGCTGGAGCACATCAGGCCACAGCTGGCAGAGGGAGGCTGATGGGTGTCTCTCTGTCAGCATTCCTTGGGCCTTGGAAACACTCAGCATGCTCATCAGGAAGGAGCCCAAGAGACTCCCTAGTGTTGGCATCCAAGCTCACTCCCCATCTAGAGAGTCCTTGGCCTATTCCTTCCCTTCCAAGAGGAAGTGAATTTGACCTCCTCTCAGATTCTTCCAACCCTTCTTGCTTCCCATTACCCATAGGCCTCTGCCCTTTTTATCTGCATGGGATCATCTTCACTAGCCTTCTCATTGAACCATTAACTGCATCAGAAGTCTGGAGAGTGCTCAGACAACCCTAGTCTCAGAGTGTCAGCCTTCCAAGGTGATTTTTACTATACCAGATGGTGAGACCTTCTGAAAAACAGCAGCTGGAGCCTCGATTAAAAAGAAAGCAAGAGGCCAGGAGCTGCTGGCTCACACCTGTAATCCTAGCTGAGATCTGAGGATTGCAGTTCAAAACCAGCCGGGGCAAGAATGTCCATGAGACTCTTATTTCCAATGAACCACCGGAAGTGGTGCTGTGGCTCAAGTGGTAGACTACTAGCCTTGAGCTGAAGAGCTTAGGGACAGCGTCCAAGGCCCAGAGTTCAAGCCCCACGACCAGAAAAAAAAAAAAAAAAGAAAAGAAAAAAAGAAGAAGCAAGGCAGAGATTCACCTTGTTGTCTCCACCATCCTAAGTGGGAACAGAATTGCCCAGTTCCTCAGTCCTTGGGGTGCCTGGGGAAAGCTACGTGATAGATTTGAATGTCATCTTCTACTCAGACTGCCAAAAGTCAGAAAGAAGGAGCTATATCAAGATTTGTTCATTACCACCCAAGCGTCCTGCTTTCTGCTTTGAGAAATGATGGTGACATGCCCCAAGGTCAAAGAACATTTTATAAGATGGTCTCAAAGGGAAAAATGTTCAACTGAGATTGTGTGTGTTGTGTGTGTGTGTGTGTGTGTGTGTGTGTGTGTGTGTGTGTGAATCCTGGGGTTTGAACTCAAGGCTTGGGTGCATTGTGCTTAAGGCTAGCACTCTACCACCTGAGCCACAGCTCCACTTCCACTTTGGTGATTAATTAGAAATAAGAGTCTCACATACTTTTGCCAAGGCTGGCTTTGACCCACAATTCTCAGATCTTAGCCTCCTGGATAGCAAAGATTATAAGGCATGAGCCTGAGAGTTATGAGGATTTCATTTCATAAGCAAGGTGAATATATAAAATATAAACTTAAGGTAGCAGAACCCTATTTGATTTTTTTTTTGGGTCCGGTCATGGGGCCTGAACTCTGGGCCTGAGCGCTGTCCCTCAGCTCTTCAGCTCAAGGCTAGCG